TCAGCTAGAAAATAAACTAACTACAAATATATACAGAGAGGAGGCTGGGGAGCCTGCTCAGTGGTTAAGAGGACTTGTTGCTTTTCCCAAGGACCTGAGTTTGATACCCAGAACTCATGTGGTGGTTCCAAAATATCCACAACTCCAGTTCCAGGGTATCTGATATACTCCTCTGACCTCCGTGGGTACCGGGCACATATATGGTGTATATACATACATAAAGACAAATGCACACACATATAAATTACAAATCAGTTTTAAAATATCTATAGACATCAGGCATTTAATATGAATTATTAGAAATAGTCTGAAGTGTTGAAAGAATGTCCACTGAATACTAATATGCATCTGTGCTAGTCTAGCAATATCAGTATCATTTATTTTACGATATAATGAAATTTTGTATTTTTTATTTGAATTTTCTCAATATTTTTCTTTGGCTCTTTTCCTTCCTTCCTTAGTCAAACCATAATAATACAATGTGCCAACTGTTAGGTTATGACTTAAAAGAGGGTCTAGTGAATGTCAACTAGTTTTTAGGATATCTTGGGAAACATGGGTTTTACTCAACTGCAGCAGTAGTATCACACTAAAAATAAAAGAAAGTGCTGCTTTTTGAAAATTATTATTTTGGTCCTTTGATCTTTAAAAGTCTTTATGAAGGCAGCTCTCAGTCTGAATTACAAAGAAGTAATTGTTCCTTGACCAATAACCAGTCTGAAATCCAGAGTCAGGATGAATTATTTATACAGAAGAAAGTACTTATAGTCATTTACTAAAAAGAAAAAGAAATATTTTATCTCTTTGGCTGAGGATGTAACTTTAAATCATCTATAAAAATATGGAAGAAATAATATTCAACATTCATTATTTCAACCCAGAATATTTTCTAGAAACATGCCAGTTTAGCTATTTGATTATACCATTGCTACTACTAGCTTAGATCCAGGGAGATTTCCTGAAATCCTTTTAATAGTTCACAGGGCCAATTTTACTAACAATATTAAAGCATTATTTGCTTCTCCAACACTGACATTTGCACTGATGGCATAAAAGCAATGGTGGATTAACAGTATAAACTGAGCAAGTGAGTCCAAACAAAATAGTTATTGAATAATATGTACTGATATATGCTTTTAAAAATCTAGTATCATTTAATATTGTCCTCAATGAAATAGTTAATATTAATTTAATTAAACAAATTATGTCTTCATTCTTGATTTTGATAAAACTGAAGGTATGAAATAAATACTTTTGTTATATGGCAAAGGACGCTGCAATCTCAAAACAAAGAAACAAAACAAAACCCAACTAGCTTTTTTTTTTTAGAAATCTAAAAGATAAAATAGATAAATAAACAGTAAGCCTATTTATCAAAAGCAAGTGAAAACATTTGCTGCCTCCCCGATTTTTTTTGTTTATTTATGTATTTGCAAAATACTAGCTCGTAAACAGAATTCAGAACTTTAGAAAATGTATTTCTGCAACTCTGAGATGGAGATCTTCAAATGATTAAAGAGTTTTAGGATGAGTTATATAGCACGAATAACAAAAATCCAGAGACAGATATTGGAGCTCAAACTGAAGATCAGAAAAGCAAAGCAATCAAGACACTAGAGAGCTCTCACCTCAAAGAAATCCTGAGACTAAAAGAGTGCGAGTTCCTGTCTCATCTCATTTCTCTCTAGCCTGACTATTGTAAATGATTTTGCTCAAATAACATGAACCTAAAAGAGGTCCTAATTCTGCATTTTGTTTGAATGTAAGATTAGGTACTAATATAATAAAGTAATATGGCTTTCATGAAAATGTTTCAATTATATTCTTTTAAACAACTTCATAAATTTTATTCAGCTACATATAAAATTATCTTCTAAATTTTATAGCACAAGGGAATACATTACTACACTCTATAAGGTAATGGAAAATTCAGATACTTGGAAAAGAAAAAAGATAACAAAATCATTCCTTAAAAATATTCTTTTGTGAATACATTGATTTTTGTATTTTCCTCATCTTTTAGTCTTGTCATTATTTTCTACTTCATCTTCCCCTCTTTTGGTTTCTTGTTGTTTGTCATAACTGAAAATCAGCACTGAGCTAAGTTGTAAATCATATTCATTTAAAAAGAGAAGGTTTCTGTTAAAGACATTCTTTTATCAAATCCTTTTTGGAAGAACATCATCATGGTAGAACTTGAGTGTGTTATACATCGCATACATTTCTTTAAAATCTATTTACCATTTTCATTTCTTTGACATATGCACTATTTTATTTAGTGGTAATAAAAGACAAAAAAAAAGAAAAAATTTGTTCTTAAATTTTTCTGCATTGCCACAAAGCAAAAGGAGTGGCATTCATTCTAGTAAAAATTCATTATAAGAAAATATCTGATACAAAAGAAAATACTGTCCTGATGAAAAAAATATTACATTATTCCACCAAATAAATATTTACTGGAGAGAATTATTTGATGGACAATGGTTATATTTTAATATTTGACTGTCATCATTGGACCATGTAGAGTGAACAACAACTATAGCAAAACCAAAACAGTATATTTTACACAGACAATTTGTTTTTATAGATGGAAGAATCCTAAAGGATCAAAACTAAATCAAAGATATAATGTACAACACACACACATGTATACACACATGTTAATGTTTGATACTGCCATTACTTGGGGAATTGAGTCCTCATTATGTATGGACAATGTGTCATCTTAAATATTATTCACTATTAAATTTTGCAGAAACAAACAACCAAAACTGTATAAAACTGTTTGATTTATTGTTATTTTTTATTTAATTTTTGAGATGGTATTGCTATGTAGCCTAGGTTGGTCTTGAACTCAAAGTCATCCTGTCATATCCTCTTTAGTATGGATTACAAATGTGTGCTACCATGGCTGTTTTGTTTATCCAGTGCTAGGGGTGGACGACCTCAAGGTCTTGAACATCTTAGTCAAATCTTCTACTATTGAGTTATATCCAAAATCTTTCATTTATGTTTCCACAATTATTTGAATGAATCAAAAGATAATTTTCCAAATATTTTGCACTCCTGTTGATGAACCATAACATTTAATTGTACTTTATTATAATCTGTAGTAGCCTATTTTGCTTTTAAGGGCAGTAAATATTGTCTATTAGCTCATTATTCCTTTCTTACAACTAGGAAACCAAGTCTCAAAACAGACACAACACTCAGAAAACATTAAGTATCTTGTTTAATGTAGTGAGGCTTTTAAGGAGAAAAGTAAGCACTAGAATCCACATCTATTGCCAGGGTCAAGAGCTCTTTCTAAAGCTGATCATTCAAGACTGCATGGTATTTCTGATACAAAGAAACCTTGTTTGCACATTATATCTGTATATGACACATTTCATGCTTAATCTGAAACATAAATGATTTCTATGGAGTTGACTAATATGCACTATTTTATAAACATTACAACCCAAAGGCAGTAAACACAGGAATGGCAAATTAAAAATGTACCTTCAGTTCTACACAAAACAGCATTCTTTGCTTACTTCAAGAACACCTCATACTGAACATGTTCAAATCAAAATGTAATATCATTCCTCAAAGAATCCTTGAAAATTAGTTATTTTCTTTTATATACTAATACTGTTAAACTGATATAAACCCTTTATCTTAAGTTAGAAACTTGAAAAACATTCCTTTTCATCTTCCTTTCTGTCCTAAATATAATGATGCAGAATTAAGATAAGCACTTCATTCAGAATAGAGTTAAGTACCACAGTCTTTCTATGGTCTTGAAATTTAACTCAGGGATGAATAGCATGGGTGTAGGGAAGACATGCTTTAAAAAAAATCAACATATTTGAACACCAAATTAAGAAAACTTGCATAATAATGAAAACATTTATAGTTTTTCATCTTTGAAGATTAATACCTCAATTTTTAATGATAACATTATTTGTTACTTATTTTGACTCCTATCTAAATATAATGATATACAAATGTAACAGCAACATCATGAAGATTTTCCTAAGGGTATTATCTGTCATAAACTTTAAAACAAAGCACACTATAACATCAATAATTTAGAGACAGTTTCTAGTCTAATGAAATTATAACTCACAAAACTGATAGAAAAGTCATAATTGAGGGAGAAAGCTATACTTGCTTTTAAATCTGGTGATAGAGAAAAAGGCCAGATTGAAAAACTGTTAGATTCTTAGGACAAATTTAGTATATAGCTTGATATCCAATACAATATCTCATTAAATAAGAAAGTAATCTCTGATAACTATGTTTCTTCACAAATGGAACCTGAAGGAACAGGTGAGTGATTTTTCCAGAGGAGATATTCCAGAGGTTGACGTAACAGTACTCAAGCTTGTTCAGTACTTTGTCTTACACACAAAATAGGAGGTGGTAAACAGTGTCTGATCTTGCCTCCACCACAATTCAGAGACAGATGTACAAAATAAAAACTTTGAAACTATCCCCCTCCCAAAGGTTGGCATTAAAACTTTCTTTCTAACAAATTTAGTTTTGTTTCCAAATAATAGGCAGCAACATTCCAAGTTGACTCTGTTTGAAAAATTTTTCAGAATGATATTAGAGAAGGTAGGTATGCAAGCCTGAAGTTTAAAAGAAAAAAAACCCATTTGTCATAGTATTTTGTTAATATTGCTGATTATTAACTAAAAATACACTTATCCTCAGAATAATTTAATTTTACACCCACATTGCTAAGTTATCTAAAAAAAAAATAGGTCTACCACAAAGAAACACAAATTATATAACATGGCATTTTTGCCCATGACATAGGAGCAGATATATTGTATGAAATGTCTACTATCCTAATAAGATAATCTATGAAACAAGAGGTGGTAGCTATCATGTATTTCATCCATTTTTACTACGATTTTGCATGCAATCCAAACTTGACAAGCAGGGGGACATTTGTTAGTTTTCTCAGAATTTATACTAGAGAAAGGTAAGATGCAAGGATCTGCACTTACTTTTGGTGTTGGACAAGAAGCTGTAGAGAGGCGAGATGTAGCCTGAGCACGGGGCGATTCTGAAGGAGTAGTGCTGAGGGAGGCTGTGTCTCGTGGGAGCACCTGAACACCACGAGAAATGATGGAATCTGGAATCTAAACAAGAATGACTATAGTTTAACATTATGAAAAGGCCATAGCATATAAAATTAGCACTCACATCTTTCTTGTTTTGATTTTTGTCGTTCTTTGCTGATGAGCACTCATAGAGTTACTGTCACTTATATATAAGCACATGTAATATTTGATTCAGACATTTATATTTTACATTTTTTTCTGACAAATAATATATTATGGAACACTTTAGTGACAAGTAGTCCAGCACTGTGGTTAGAAGGAAATATATGTTACTCAATAACTGGTTTTGTCATTTAATAGTTTGAATTCCTGAGCAAGATACTTCTATATTTTAAAATTTCATTTTCCAACATTTCATCCTCTGTGCTTCTAACTCCTTTCTGGATATCATCAACTAACTATTTTGTCTTCTTTGACTTCCAGTTGGGTTCTTCTAGATGTCAGGGCCTAGCATGGGACAAGGAGTAGAGGAGGATAAGGTCTGGTATTTATTCCTCTCAGTTCATCAGAGGTTAGATGTATCTTTCAACTACAAACCATAGTTCTGCTCAAATATATATAGCTCTTTCTCTGTATGGCAATAGAGTTCCTGGAATTGTCAGGATCCCTTTTGTCAAAATTCAGCTAGAACCAGTAAGGGTATTTTTCTTATTTATTCCACAGAAATTCACAATGCCTTCCTGATTTCTCTAAATTCATTCCACATATGTCTGCCCTTATTAAAAATCTCAATTACTTATTTAGTGTGTTCTATCACTTCTGCTAGGACCCTGATGAATAAATCATTTCCAGCAACATTTTCTTTATCTAAAAAATGGGGATAATTATAGCATCTTGCTTCTTGGATTATTTTGATGTTTAAGCAAGAAAATATACATAAATTGCTTAGCAGTTTGAAACAGTAAATATTTAATAAATGTTAGTTATTAGGTTATACTATGAATACAGTGAAGACAGATAAGACTGTTCTAAAAAGTGAAAAATAATGTAAATAACTTAAAATATATTTATGTTATCAAATTTATTACTTTAGACTATGAATAATTTAGACTATGAATATTTTGTGCTAGAGTATTAGAGACAGTTTACCAGTTTAAGAATAGGAACTTGAGGCTGTAAATATCTAGAAATACTTTCTACTTGGGATCTTGAGAGGCCACTAGGCTGGGAGTTCCAGAGTGGTTGCACAAGTTTGCATTCCCACCAGCAATGGATGAGGGTACCCCTTTCTCCACAACCTCTCCAGCAAAGACTATCATTGGTGTTTTTGATTTTCGCCATTCTGACAGGTGTAAGATGGTATCTTAAAGTTGTCTTGATTCGCATTTCCCTGGTCGCTAAGGAAGTTGAGCATGACCTTAGGTGTCTTTTGGCCATTTGAACTTCTTCTGTTGAGAGATCTCTGTTCAGCTCAGTGCCCCATTTTATAATTGGGTTGATTAGCCTTTTACGGTCTAGTTTTTGAGTTCTTTATATATTTTGGAGATCAGACCTTTGTCAGTTGCGGGGTTGGTGAAGA